GCACGGTATCCCGGGCAATGGCAACCAACCACGCCGTGCCCAGGAGTAAAGCACATGGGCAACCTAATAATTGTTGCTTTGATAAAAGGAATCATGGGTCTGGCGGGCAGAATTTGACTCAGGTTGCCACAGGGGAGGTTCAAGTCCTCCAAGTGAGGAGCAGCATGTGCATTAATGTGGCCCTGTGGGGATGCCACCTGCCACCATGGCCCACCAGTCAGAGTGGCGGTGATGGGTCTTCCGGTTGCACTCAGTGGTTGTCCCCAGTGTTTTCGATGCCCCGTTACATGGAGGCACCAGCAAGCTGCAGAATATCCACGTTGGCTCCCTGGTCCACAAAGTGAAAACCAGCGGGGACCAAGAAAAGGTGAACTGAAAGCCCATGAACCCTCCTGCCCCTCTGCTCATCCTGGGGCAGCAGAGGTTTGGAGGCACGGGGCGTGGTTCCAATGAACTGCTGTTCAAATCCTGTTTGACTCACAGGAAAGAGGGGTGACTGGGTCTTGGATAAAGAGCGTGGATCATGCTACTGCATCGAGGTCCCAGATGCTATTTTAAAGGAGTAAATTAACTTAAGACGCTGATACCTGAATGTAATAATGGATCTGTTAAATGATGCTTTCTTGGTTCAAAAAAAGAACCAATGGAAGCCATTCTCTTTGACACCTGTGTGGTCATCCCATTGCCTCCGCCCTTCCCACCCTGTGCACTGGAGTGGAACCAGGGCTTACTAGCAGGGTCCCTCCACTGGCCACAGGGCCCTGCCTTGTCTTCTTGCTTGAGGATTCCGTCAGCTCTCCCATGCTCTGTGTGAGCCCTGAAGGAACTTGACACCCCGAGCAACACCAGCTGGCTCTTACATTAAAACTTGAGCTTACGGCCCCTGCCAAGGAGAAATTAGCAACCCACAGATCTCTAGGTCACGTAGTGGCCTGTCAGAAGATGAGAGAACCCAGGAGAGGTTCTGGAAGGATGTCGAGTGGTACGGAGTATATTAGCTTATCCCCTTTAAAGAGAAGGAATGTCTCACCTTACAGAAAGTGGCAGAAGCTGTCCTATTGGACTTTGTACTCCCTGTGGGTGGCTTCTCTGACCTACTCCCCAGTTTAGGAATAAGGCGGTGGGTTTAGGGATAAGTGCCAGGTGCGGTGGAAGCAGGCTGCCAGCCGGCAGGAGCAGGGTGGGTGGGTCAGAAACCGAATCAGGAGGCTGTCCTGCACAGCAGCACCAGCTCATCCTGGTCAGCTCTGTCCAACAGCCCTGCGTGAGTGCCGCAGTCTGGCTGGGCACAAGATCACAAGCCACTCACAGCCTTGTAGATTCAAACAGCAATTCTTTATTCCCGAACTCACACAGGCCCTCTACAAACACGTTCTGGGGAGATTCCAAGTTCTGCCACGCAATTCACGTCCCAAATACTTTCTGAATTCCACGAGAACTCAACGGGAACTCAGGCAGCAGGATACGCCCTATTCCCAGCAGGAATAATCTTAAACCTGGAACCGCCCTCTAAACCCAGATTGTCTTAAACCGGGAACTCCTTAAACCCAAATTATCCTAAACCAGGATACTTCCTAAAACCTGCAGGATACACCCTAAACCTGGATCCACCCTCGTCCTTGAGCAGGGTCACCTATCTCAAACACACATGCAATGTCACAGCGAATTTCCAAGGCAAGTCCATTTAACTTGGGGTACGCTGGCAAGGAAATTTCAATGCATCATTCCTACTTGGCAATGGCCCTCAGCACGTAAGCCCTTTCTGCAGTCACCCTAGTAGGTAGCTGCAGGTCCTGGGGGCAGGACTAGAGAAACCGCTCTGGCCCAGCCTCCCTGCTGTGTTGCCTGCTCGTTCCTCCTGGAAGCCTGGCTTCCTTCTATCGCCCTAGGTCTCCAGGTCACTCAGGTCTGGAGCTGAGCAAGGGGTGTGGCTTTTTGTTATTGCCTCCAGTTTAGGGTTTTCTGGTTTGGGTTGCAAGGGTTAAGTCACCCCCTCGTGGTGGCCTGGCTACTTGGGGATGCAATGCTCTGTGAACCATTCCCCATGGCCCTGGGGTCAAGCACCCTTGGCCACCTCCTCAGTCCTTATGGGAGTCGTGAGCTCCGACCTTGCTGACCCAGTGCCTCCACCTGGCCTCTTGCTTGTGATGTGTCACCTGCCTGGATATTCTGAGCCCCACTGTGAGAGCCACCTCTCCTCCCATCTCTCCTGGCTTCAGGGACGTCTGCCACTGAGCTTCCACCAGTCCTTTTCTAATGGCCATGGAGAAGGGGCATCCCTGGGTCCCTCCACCGCACACCCGAACAGCGCTCTGACCACTGCTTTGTGTAATGAGCTTAGTTGGTTTTCTGCCTGTAACTCCAGGACTGGGCCATCTGTGAATAACAGAGGTCTGGGGCGGAGGCCTCTGGCCAAGCCTGACACGAGACGTGGGAGACAGAGCAAGAGCAGCAGCTCCATCTGTTCGCCTTCTCACCAGGCCACTCCACTCGTGCTACTGTGAGACCCCCCTCCCACCCCATCAAATCCTGATTACTCCCCGAAGGACCTACCTCCCAGAGCCATCCACATGTGAATCTGGGGAGTAAGTTTTATACACATGAACTTTTCTGGGACAGTCTCCAGCCCCGGCGACTCTCTTCCAGCAAGCCCCCTTCACTCGGCCATCTCCCACCTGCCCAGCAGCTCACCAACTCACCACCACTTTGCCCAGGCTCCCAACAGCCGTCCTGTGAGTTCCCTGGGCCCTTGCTGGGGCAGTGAGTCCTGTGTCCCGACAGTGCCTCCAATCGACGGCTGTGTCCTGGCCCCGTTAGTCCACCTCCCTCCACCTCCGATCCCTGGGGTCCCCCTCTCTAGACAATCTTGCAGCCCCTCTGTTTGGGCCTGTTTCTCCCTTATCAGGCCCAGGACTTCCTCAGACAGGACGCTTTTTTCCCTGTCAGTGCTGGGGAAGGAGCCCAGGGCCTCGCACATGATGAGCAAGGGCTCCGCCACTGCGCTGCACCCCAGCCCTGACCCCCTTTAGACCTGAAGCCAGGGGAAGGGAGAGCAGGTCCTGGGTGGAGGAGGGGGAGAGTCCTCTGGGGCAGCTGCCAGCCTGGAGGAGGTGCCAGTTCTTGCTAGGGGAGAGTTGGGTCGCCCTGTGCCCCTCTGGGCTTCTGGGCCTTCTCAGGAGCCCATGTCCTTTCCCTGCAGAGAAGAGCTGCATTAGAGAATGCGCTTCCCAGCCGGGCTTGGTGGCGCATGCCTGTAATCACAGCGGCCTGGCGGCTGAGGCAGGAGGAGCGTGAGTTCAAAGCCAGCCTCAGCAAAAGCGGGGTGCTAAGCAACTCAGTAAGACCCTGTCTCTAAATAAAATGTACAGTATAGGGCTGGGGATGTGGCTCGGTGGTGGAGTGCCCCTGAGTTCAATCCCCAGCACCAAAAAAAAAAAAAAAAAAAAATGCACTTTCCTGCGTGGCTTCTGCAACAGCATACACAGACTGAGTTTGGGGTCATCCTCAAAAGAGCCAGGGGACGCTAGTCATGGAAAATTGCTTCCGCCCCACAGAATATCACGCCTGTTACTGCTTCCCCACTGACCAACAGGAGCCATGTCTATTTCAGAGGCGGTTTTCTGAAACACACCTGATAATCGCTGAAGCCGACAGTCGGCCTGTTAGGAGAACTGGCGACAGAAACATGAGCAGACTATCCCCATTCCTTCCCCGTGGCTGCTGTTCTTTTGATTTTATTCCGATCCCTGAGGAACATGAGGGGGAGAAAAGCAAACTGAGATCAGGGTGTTTTTTGCACCTGCTCCGAGAGTGAAAGATGCAGTGTGTCGGCAGAAGCCTTGCCCGCTCCGCTCGCCGCCCGCCCGAGGGATGCTTCAGCACTACTAACCTCGCAACTGCGTGAGGATCCTGTGAGCTCCTCACGCCACAGGAAATGTCAAAGCTGAAATAAATACGAGTTGTCCCTCCCTCCTACAAACTGCACTTCAGTCTCATCTCAAAAATTCTGTCGGAGTAACTTTGTCCAAGAGAAGCAGCTGAGCATCAGGATGCTGCTTCTTCAGACCGTGATCCCAGGCTCTGTGTTTAGGGTCACCTCACCACGAGGGGCTCTGTGTTTAGGGTCACCTCGGCACCAGTGCTTGCCAAGTGCTGTGAGAGACGTTAGCAGAGAGGGGGGACCCATCTTTTAACAACAGAAGGTCTTCCCTGCGGGGAACTTAGGCTGTGCTCCCTGGAACAGACTCTGAGCAGAGGACGGAGTCCACTCAGGGTGAGCCGGCGAGGAAGCAGGGTGCAGGTGCAGAGGGAAGAGCTGGCCAGCATCCTGCAGGGAGCTTCCGGCAGGAATTGCCCAGCAGAGCTGACCCGAGCTGAGGCAGGGCCACTCTCCCCACGTGGCCACTCACTGTTGTGTTAGGCAGGAGACCAGGCATGGGGAAGGGACCCCCTCAGGGCTCTCCGAGGGACCCAGGCCCTTGCAACTCCGCCTCATGCTGTGAGGGGGATCTTGCAGTTAAAGTGAGAAAGCTGGACAACCCCGAGGCGAATTCCAGACCATGCAGGGCAAGCCCCCGCCTCAGACGCGCGACCGCCCCCAGCTGCACGGTCATCTCAGGCGAGCGACGC